CCCCATATCACTGGGATTACAGTCTAGTTTATTGAAGGACTTCCCAAAGAGTTCCTGGGGAACATAAGTTGACAAGTTTTTTCCTACAGGTACTCTTCATGTGCAAGGAATGAAAGCTTAGTTCTCAGTATCAGTGAAGGGAGACAGTCCTCTAGGGCATATTGTGTGTGTGTGTGGTCATCACAGTGATAGGATCATTGCTGGCATGAGGTTGGGCAGGGGGCAAGAATGCCAGCTATTCAGAAATTCACGATACCGTCTGACACAAGGAATTGTCCTATGTTCCACATGACTTTTGAATCTCCCATGGGACATTCATTGAAGTGAAAATTCTATTTATAATGATCTGTCTGGAAACTAGCTCCAGTTTATGCTAAATTGCAAGGAATTCTGTCTGCATAGCTGTGACCAAAATTTTCACTGTGTTTGCACTAATATATGTTGTGCATTGAGCTACAGTACAGCACATATATGAAGGCATGTATTTATGTATCGTTTAAGGTAAGTAATATACTCATTGTGCACATCAGAATATTTTTATTGACTAGGAGTCTGTAATGGAAAACGTCTAGAAATCTCTGCTCTATAAGAAGGAGCTCTAGGCTAAAAAATCAGAGATCCTGGGTTCAGGATGTAAGTCTGCCACTTGCTGTGTGTGAAGCTTTGCGCAAGTCATTAAGTATTTCTGAGCTCTGCATAGGTCTCAAGGTGGTGCTGAAGATGATTTCCACATACAGAGATAAGCACTTTGATAATTGTAAACATCTACGTGTACACACAGAGTGTCATTGTTCTCCATATCATTTGATAACAGAAGCAAAGACTTCCTTACTTTGGTGTGTCCTCACCATATAATACAGTATCCTACACATAAAGAATAATTATATACATATAAATGATTCTAAACAGTATTTATGATCATTAGAGTCTTGTAGCTATGTGAATACCTTTCCCTTAATTAGAATGAAGTAGAAATTCCATTGTGATTGTTTCATTTCTTCCATCTCGACATAGTTTCCACAAATAAATAAATGTAATGCATGTTGTCCCTACCAAGATGGGACATCTTGGTCTTTGTCACCAATTTTGGAGAAGATAATCAGTTCTTCTAAGACAGCAGATGAAAAGAAAAAAAAGAGCAATTACCTACCAGCTCCCTGTATCTCTTCCCACCAGAAATGAGAAGATTGAAAGTTTGGTTTGAATCTCTATGTAAACCCCCTGTGGACATTTCAGAGGGCATAGGTTGCTAGGGATGATCTCAATCGCATAGGAAATATTGCATTTTAAAGCTACCATGGCAATCTGGAATTAATTCTGTGTAGTGTGTTCTGCCCTCTGAGTGGCTGTCTATTTCTGCTATTTATGGGCTCTTTGAGGTCAGAAATTGTGTTCCATTCACTATTTTATCCCCATTACCTGACACAGTGCCTGATGCTGCTAAATGAATACTCAACCAACCAATAAATGGTGTGCACTGTGAGCTAAAGTCTGGGGTAGACATTAGGTTCCTTTAGATCAATAACTGGAGTTATTTTAAGAAGGCAGAAAGACAATGGGCAGGTTTGGGGAGAAGGAGGTGAAAAGGAATGAGTGATGGGCAGCAGGGAGAACGTTATTTCATTCTTTTTCTAAAAAGGCAATTTGGAAGATGAACTTCTTATAGAAGAAAAAAAAAAAGACCTCAAGAGGGAGGTGACATGGAGCTTGGAAGGGCGAGAATACATCAGAGAGGCTGTGAGCCTGTTTCTCTTGACTGCCTATCAAGTAGCAATTACCTACCAGCTCCCTGTATCTCTTCCCAACAGAAACAACCTAGTTATCCAAATATGACTCATCCACACCCCCAAACTGACTTCGATAACAAGATACCAGAAGAAGCAGGGGGAAGAATTTTAAAGATTGTATGTATGTTATGACTCTTTTATCTTTTCTTTCTCATACCAGCCTTGCAGGTATAAACTGATGTGATTATAGACAGTCTATGGTTCAGCTTTACTTAATTCCTAGGCTCTTTAGATTAATAAGAGTATGACTCACGAAGCATGGTCATTAAAATGCATTATAATGGAAATTATTTATTTGCGCCATATTCCTTGTTACAAAGAAATTCCATGCTTTCCAGTTGTTAGAGTATAAGCTTTGTTTTTGGAGCTAAAAATAGAGTAGAAATCGACAATATTTAACACACTGAAAAATGAAATGTTCAGTCACAATTTGTTTATTTTCACTTTTTAAAAAGGAAAGGTAATTGAGGACTAAAACCCCTGTGAACTTTATAGCAAATGTATAATTCAATTAACTTTGACACATTCAGTTGTATTATAGCCACCAGAAACAAGGTGGAGAACATTTCCATAATTTTGAGAAGTTCCCTTGTACCCCTTTGTGGTGAATGCCCTCCCTTAGCCCTCTGGCAACCTCTGGTCTGTTTCCTAATTTTCCAGCTTAACTTATTTAAGAATATCATATAAATGAGATGCAGCACATTAGCCTTTGAGACTGGCTCCTTTGACTTAGCTTAATGCTTTTGAATTTTCAACTTGTGGTTTACAGTAGTTTCTCATCATATGCGGTTTTGCTTTGCATGGTTTCAGTTACCCACAGTGAAGTGAGGTCCAAAAATATTAAATGGTAAATCTCAGAAATACATAACTTACAACTTTTAAATTGTGTAATGTTCTGAGTAGTGTGATGAAATCTTGTGCTATTCCTTCTGGGGTGAGAATTGCTGTATACACAACCCATCCATTAGTCACTTAGAAGCTCACTTATCAAATTGACTGTTGTGGTATCGCAGTGGTTGTTTTCCTCAAATCCTTATGTTACTTAATAATGGCCCTAAAATGTAATACTAGTGATGCTGGAAATTTGGATACACTGAAGAGAAGTTGTAAAGGTAAAAATTTATTATAGGTATGTATGTATGGAAAAAAAACACAGTATGGGGTTCTGTACTAGCAGGCATTCACTGAAAGTCTTGCCATGTACCACCCTTGGATAAATGTGGAGAGGAGGCCATTGTTTTGTTTTTATTGTACAGATAAAAAAATATTATGTTCAGAAGTAACTTCTCTATGTTAAAATAACATGTAAATGTAATGCCAGGATATGAAACCCAGGGATCACTGACTTGAAAATTCATGTTTATAACCATGAGAAGGCACTTTCCCCAATTCCTACTGTCAAGATGCACTCCAGATGGGATATATTGAATGTACCCTTATTTAATCTTAATCAAGCTACCTCCCTGACAAAGGCGATCCTAACAAAGATATTCTCCATTTCCAAGCAAAATATCAAGTCATCATAAATATCAAGGCCAGTGTGCAAATGTTAAGGCCTTAAGCAGCATTAGAGAATATTTGGGAGAAACAAGTTTTTTACTATGCAGTATAATTTCACATGGGTGACAAGTTGACTCTGCCAATTTCACTGTGAACTGCTTAGCAGGATTCTACAATTTTAGTATCTGTAAAAATATGCTCAGGATTTAAAAAAAATAGCTACATGACAAAGCTACATGGTAAAAATAGTGTTATATGCTACTTAATAATTAAAAATTTATTTTTCACAAATACCAATGTTCTTGTCAAAATTGTTTTTGACAGATTCTATTTATTCAACCATTGTACCACAGTATCAGTCAAGAGAGTAATTCTTTATCAGGTACTTTATCTGAGAGAATTTAATATAAATATTTAATGAGGTATTGGAAGATTGAAAAAGTATAAAGGTTTTGGGTTGCCACTCAACTAGATAAAGAATTCTGACCAGCCAAGATCCTGGCTGGAGTAAGGAGGGAAGAATGGACAGAGGAGACAAAGCTTAATACCAAGGACAACTGTCTCATGATAACTTGTCTTGAATCAATGGTATTGGATATGAAAACTTTTGTTTCTGCAGGATAAGGACAATGGTCATCTCACATTATGAACAATCCATCCCAGGGATTTGGTTAACTTTATTAGATGATAATTTCAAAGATCGTGTTTCTGAACAGCAGCCACTCCAGCACTATTACACACAGTAGGAACTCAGTCCTCATCCAGCAATACCTGTTTCAGGGCTTCACAATGAGGCATGTTGGGTCTTCAATGGGGAACTGTCTTCTAATAAGAGAAGCTGGTACAAATGTCCACATATAAAGAGGTATGTGCACTAAAGTGGAGAGCTTCTCAGTTGTGGTAACACTTGGTATCAAGTTGGTTATGGAACCTGGACTCTAAGAAGTCCATTCATATTGAAATATGGCTCTTGTAATCAATTTGAGGGTAATGTAGAGGGAATCCCAAATGTCATGCTAACCAGGGTTCCAATCCTGGGAGAAACTGGAGCTCAACTCAAAGGTATTGAGGAAGGTTGCTATTTGGTGGGTATGGGTAATCCAGGAGACCACCAGGGAATACAAGTAGTTTTAGGGGGACATATTAACTCCAGCCCTCTAGCCTCTTTTTTCCCCTCATAGTATTACCTAGCAGAGCAGTAAGTAAAGCCAGCTGGGTTATTATTGGCTAAGGGATGGGACTGGGCTAACCCTGAAAATACTAGGTCTTTAGTACTGATCCCTGGGCAGGATTGTGGAAAGCAGAGACCTAGAGTTGCCCCTTTGGTCACACTGGTATCATCTGATAGACACCAAATAATTTTGCTGGCCTTGATATTTTACTGGGCTGGTTAAGTTTGGAAAATATCTTTTAAGCAATATAGCAATTGGGATGAAGTAATATAGGAAGAAAATAAGGGCAGGCAAATGTGAGTAGACAATCAGAAAATGTGGAATTTCCATTTTTATTTTTTTGGGTCTTATTTGAAATATTTTGAAACTTCCAGGACTGAAATAATTTAAAGCCAAGAGAGATGGAAGCTTACCACATATTGCATATCTTTAAGAAGGTATAAGACTGGGGATTTCTGAACCTTTTTACTCAATGAGATTGCTTAAATTGGTCTGAGCATACCCACAAGATTAAGTAAAGAAAAACTCTGACAAATTCAGATAGTTTGCATCAGTAAGAAAGTTTATTGAAATTCATTAGTAAATGAGAACAGAAAGTTTTTCTTTTTCCACGAAAAAACACTTTCTGGCAAAGTGAAAAGAAGAAATACAGAAATCACAAAACACCTTTTAGACACCTTATTTTCAAGGAGTGAACCTGTTTCTACAGACCATTAAGACAGAAGTGTTGAATATTTTGCCATGCATCTGTTATATAATGGCCTGTGTGAAGGGAGACTCTTTCGTCTTGATGCTACTTATTAGTAGTGCTTCTTGGTTTCTGATTCAACCATAGATGAAAGAACTCTACCATCAGGTGTCACTTCTTCAATAATTGTCTTGATTACTCTGGTTTTGTTAGTATCTGTGAATAATAATAAATAAATTAGAATTTAGGTTAAGCAATTTGTAGGTATCCTTGCTAATTAACATGCAAATATTCAAAAGGAAAAACGATATTACATTTTTTAAGAAAGGAAAATTCAAATTTTCACATTAAAAATCATCCAATCAATGTTTACCCTGTGGGTGGCATTGAGACCATGCCACTTTTCCTTCAATATTGGTGTCAAAAGTGCGTTTTGTTAAAAAATGCAAATGAAAACCCTAAGATTTTCATTTTTAAAAACAGCCCTAGAGCTTAAGAAGCACTAAAACCATCACATAAAGTTAAAACTAATTCTGATTACCCCAGAGATTTTCTGCTGACCTTGGTCCCTTAGATGAGGCCTCTCCAGCGGACCCGGAAGAGGAGGATTTGAAGCCTCCGCTTCCGCTCTGGCCTCCGCCGGAGCTGCCACCGCCAAAGCTGCCGCCGTGGCCGCCGCCGGAACTGCTGCCGTGACCACCTCCACCGGAGCTGCCGCCGCCGAAGCTACCGCCGTGGCTACCGCCGTGGCCGCCGCCGGAACTGCCTCCGTGACTGCCGCCGGAACTTCCGCCGTAGCCGCCGCCGCCGGAACTGCCCCCGTAGCTGCCGCCGCCGGAACTTCCTCCGTAGCCACCGCCAGAACTTCCGCCGCCGCGACCGCCGCCGTAGGATCCGCCTCCGGAACTAAGAGGGGTGAGGGTCGTAAGCAGTGATCTTCTAACATTGGAAAACGGTGTTTCCCTCTCCGGTGATTGTTATTTTAGTAGCTACGCCAAGGTTTTGAGAGAACACAGTACTGCCAAGCACGTGTTTAAAAACCCACTGTTTAAAACAAACTTTTTAACCACACACAGCCCCGAGATTCATTCTTAACCATACTACTTTTTCGGTACTCTGCCTCCTTACACCTCCCTTCCTCCCATCCTCTGGCATTTCCTTGGGAGTTTGGATAAGCCTTGCTATTCATAATATTGAATGAAAACAATTGGGATTTTTTTTTTAAATTTCCCCCAGTTTTCCAATTACCTTCCCTCTCCTTCTAGCAGGCTGCGGTAGGTTTGAATTTCATTCTCCAGTCGGATCTTAATATCCAGGAGTTGTTGGTATTCAGCGTTCTGGCACTCGGTTTCAGCTCTAATCTGTTGCAGCTGTTCCTCCAGGGAGGTGATCTGGCCCTGAATCTGTGAGAGCTGCACACAGTAGCGACCTTCCGTTTCTGCCAAGGAGGCTTCCAGGGATTGTTTCTGAAAAGAGGATTTTGTTTTTGCTTAATGACCTCGTTGTTCAATTGGCATACTGAAGCTTATCAAATTATTTAATAAGATACTATTGGAGAATAAGGGAAATGAATAGAATTAGTGTTTTATGTAATGGCAACATTTCAATCTCAGCACTTCATACTGATACTAATAGTTCTTTCCCTCCATTAGCATAGAGTTCCAGTTTTATTTCTGCTTTCTTACCCTCAGCTCTGTGTTTCTATGATAAAATGGAAGTCATGTCTCAAGACTTAACATACCAGGGCCAGTTGGGACTGTAGTTCAATCTCTAGACCTTGAACCGTGCGTCTCAATTCAGTAATTTCGGATTTGTGGCTGGACATTTGTTCAATGTTGTTATCGATTTCTGTAGTCAGTTCCTTGCTCTGGAATTATAAAAATGGGAAAACATGGGAAAACTCGGACATGAAAACAAAACTTACATGGGCTTCACTGTGAAGGGTAGTTGACTTACCTTTTCATTGAACCAGGCTTCAGCATCCTTTCGGTTCTTTTCAGCAAGTTGCTCATATTGGCTTCTCATGTTATTCAGAAGTTCAGTCAGATCAACACCTGGGGCAGCATTCATTTCCACATTCACGTCACCAGTAGATACGTTCTGAAGGTCTCTCATTTCCTGTTTGAGGAACAAAAAAAGATTTAATGACTGCACCATAACCACAATGAACCTTTTGAAAAATTGGGGGAAATATAATTTTGTATCACCTCTTCATGGTTCTTCTTCAGGTACTGCAGCTCTTCAGTCAGGCTCTCGATCTGCATCTCCAGATCAGCCTTGGTGAGGGTCAGCTCATCCAGCACCCTGCGCAGGCCGTTGATGTCGGCCTCCACACTTTGTCGCAGGGTTACCTCATTCTCATACCTGAAACAAGCATGATACATATATTGGATACAATTCTTAAGAAGGAGATGTATGTAGAAGAAGACTTTAAAAAATTTAGAGTTGATTTCATGTCATGGTAATGTTTACCATATACTAATTCACATAGGAAGATTAGCAATTACTTTAAATGCATTTTCTTCCTTTAAAGCTTACCAGGAAGGTAATTCTGAAATTGAAACTTTCTCAGATAATTCCAGTTTCTCAGATAATTCTCTTTGAGTGAATTCAGGAAAATGTAAATGCTACTGTGGCATCTAAAGTCACTATTATAAACAATTGAATGTATTTGTATGGATAGTATTGCACATTCAATTAGCTTACTTCATTCTGAAGTCATCAGCTGCCAGCCTGGCATTGTCAATCTGAAGCAGGACATTGGCGTTGTCCGTTGTTAGGTTGAGGATCTGGAGGAATAGGTACAGTCATTTAAGAAAAGGTCAGATGCAAATATGGCTTTTATAGTGGCATAGATAAGCTGCATTTTTATGTTGTTCTCTTCCAAAAACTTTTTGTGTAGATTATTTTTAAATATAAAATATTTAAAGCTTACCCACAAACTTAAATTTAAAAACCTATCTTGAAGTTTCTACACTATTCTATTTCTGTGTCATCCTTTTCTGAAAACTAACTATATGTAATCCTATAAATGTATTAGCCTCTTTTATACTTAGTGATTTTTATGTATTTCAACCAACTTTTGACTGGCTCACCCCTGTATTTGTTCCATTTGCTATAAATACTTCTAAATAGATATACTCTGAACTGGTAGGTACGATTCACAGATTCCATGGAGTTAAGCAATATCCCAATTCCATAAAGGAGACTTCATGGGTTTTGCAATGTTGCTATTGAATATGGCTTATTTGTTATCAATCTTAATAATATTTTGTTCTTATTCATTTAATATTTTTCAGCTCTTACATTTGTAAATGACCTGGCATATTTAACTGTGGGCTCATTATATGTTCATTAAAATCTAAAATTTCTTGTTAATCTGCATCATGTAAGACAGACAAAACACATGCTGGATGAAGATTGCCATGACCATATCTTCACTCAATTTATCTTTGATGAGACTGGATTTATTTGGAAGCAAGAAAATCACAGTGAACAGCTATATTATACTTAATTTAAGATTCATCTACCCATATTACAGGGATAGAATTAAATTTAAAGTTGGATTTTAAAATGCTCCTTACCTGATTTTTCAGTTCTTCAATGGTTTGGTAGTATTTGCTGTAGTCCCGAGGCTCCCGCTGGCTTGAGTTGCCATGCTTTTCATACCACTCCTTGATTTTACCTTCCAGCTCATAGTTTGATTCTTCCAGAGCCCGAACTTTGTCAAGGTAGGAAGCCAGCCGGTCATTCAGATTCTGCATGGTTACTTTTTCATTTCCAGAGAGAAGACCATCTCCTCCAAATCCACCACCAAAGCCTCCTCCATAGCCACCTCCACCAAAGCTGCCCCCACCGAAACTGCCACCTCCAAAGCTGCCTCCTCCATAGCCCCCACTTCCATAGCCCCCACCAAAGCTGCTGCCTCCGAAGCCTCCACCAAAGCTACCTCCACCATAACCTCCTCCTATTCCTCCAAAGCCACCTGACGAGCCCCCAAAACAGCCTCCACCAGAGCTCCCACGGCTGAAAGAGCCACCGCTGAAGCCCCCTGAGCTATATCCTCCACCAAGGGAGCCTTTGCTGTTCGAAATTCTGAGGGATGATCCTCCTCCACCTCCTCCTCCTCCACTGCGGGAGGAAGAGTACTGCTTGGTTGAGCTGTATCGAACAGACATGTTGATGCTGTTGAGCTCAGGGAGTGCCTGCTACCAAGGACAGTGGCAAGCCCTTATATACTGAGAGGGTGTGCCTCTCAGATGTTAGGGTTTGCTTACTTGCATGGTTTTCTTTTTGTCAACTTAGCATCTTTGACTTATGATTGCATAAATTATCTTCAGTAATAACCAATACCAATATGTATGCTTTTGAATATGCCCTAAGAAAAAAACAGGAGATTTACTATGTTGAAATTGAAAATGGGTGGAGTTCAGATGAGCATGTTTCATTATTCTTTTTGTCTTTTGAAGAACATTGGGCAACTATTAAAATCCCTTTTTCTCAGCATTAATTAAGTTTGCACAGAGTGTTTGCAAAGTTTTTGGGAAAAAATTTTAGCTACAAAATTATGGTTAAAATAAGATTTAAATAATTTATGCTTTAAACTGTTTTAATTAATTGGAACAACAAGTAGCATGAAGACTACCAGAATCATGCTATATAGTAAGAATATCTTGTAAAAACCTGTAACCAACCAAAAAGAAAATAAAAACATATGGAAATAATTTAATTAGTATCCAAGTGTGGCTGCATATAAGAAGTAAAAGCCTAAAAAGCATAATTTAGGAAATTATATGTATGTATGCTTGTTAGGGAATGTTTTATTTGGAGAGTGAGAATATATTTATATATATATATATTTAAATTTTTCTCGATGTACGTGGATACAATACCTTTGCTTTATTTATTTATTTGTATGTGGTGCTGAGGATCGAACCCAGGGCCTTGGATGTGCTAGGCAAGCGCTCTACCACTGAGCTACAACCCCAGCCCATATATTAATATTTTATCTAAAAAATTGGAAGTAAATATTGATTGATAAATTTAAAATTTAATGATTTCATTGTTTTTAACATTAAAAAATGTGAAATATGACATAATCCTGGGTTATTTTACGTTTCTAAATTCCTCATAATTAAATTTTTTTTATGAAGACTAGCATACAGAAATTCTTAGCACAAGAACCAAAAAATCTACTCTCAATACTAATCTCTAGTACCTTACAATAAGTTTTGATTGACCAGAAAGAGAGAATTTAGATATGGTATGTTTGCAAGTAAATATTTTCTTGCAAAAATATACATCCATGGTAAAGAGTACTTGCTTAAAAAGTTATGAACTTTTTAAGCAAGTACTTATGTATGTTTATGTATGTTTCTCAATAAACAAAACATTTTCTTAGGTGTAATGTTTACAGAATCTGGTATAACAGTTTGTCTAGTGAAGTATTTAATTGAAACTTTATTAATGCATGATATGAAATTTTGTAATGCTTTTTGTAATACTGAAATGTAAAATCCTCTGGAACAAACTGCTGAGGATAGAGATGGTGGTTATCATATGTAATTTGTATCTCAGGAAGCTAAAGCTCAGAGAGGTGATGATTTTTTTCCTAAAGGCATGTAATAGATGGTTGAACTGATATAATAAGTTTGGTTCCTTGACTTTTGACTTTCTTAGTATATCATTGTGTATATATATTCTCAGTTGTGGTGTATTTGGTCTGATAGAACTGAGTGTCTCTAATACTTACCGTGAACTTCTCCCCATGGAAACAAAATAAAACAGGAATAACTTGAGAAGCTTGAAGATATTGAAAGAATAGGGATTTGGCACTCATTATAATATTGGGAATTGTCTTTTCAAATTAAATTTATAGCTGCATCTTCAAGTTTATGATCTAAAGAAATAGTTTCTGCAGGGAAAGGGAATGTGGTTGAGAGCATTAATGAAGAGTTGATTGTTAGAGTGGAGATTACTACCCAACAAATTCCAACTCCTCCAACTTGTTAGTACATGCAACTGGGGCAGCAGTTAAAAGAAAAAAAAAAAGAAAACTTACCATGGGAATTTGATTCTTGATCAAGATAATATACAATAAAAGAAGGCTATGACAAATCAGGATAGGGGATAAAAAAGTTTCCAGTAGGTTCAGAGGATGATGAAGCCTTGAGACTAATGAAAGCTATTTGGAAAGAAAAAGTTTAGTTAAAGATAGATTTTGATTATTTCACTGGCAATTATTAAAAATTTTGGCTCTTGCCAGTTTTGCCCTAGTTTAGGTTGTAATTTTCCCCACCCAGTAGGAAAAAAATGAATATTTCAGTCTAGTTTCATAGAGTTAAAAAGTGGCATGAAGGGTTTCTGTTATAATCATATTAAGCCTAAGAATATGTGAAATGAAACCTTTTCATAAAAGTACCTGTGAACAAATACAGGTATGGTGGGCCTTCTAATGCCATAACATTTAATTTAAAGCTACTTTTAATGAACCAGAAATTACTTATTAACTTGTATACTTTAGAAATTTATTTGCCTTTATTTGCACTGTCACTTGTTGAATTCTTTGGCATGAATGAAATTTCTGAAATTCCATGTGGTAATTCTACAGCTAAATTGGATGAAAACTTATGATTCTAGTTTTAGCACAATTTGCACTGATTCCCATAATCCACTATAACTGTTACTTTGTAATTCTTAATTTTATTTTTCTCTATGATAAGCACATTGATAGATGTTTGAAAGAAAAATTAGTGAGATTCAGGCCCCTGATCTTAATGGAAGAGAAATGAAATATAATGTCAACTTAAGAGCTGTGTAAATGGTAAATGACTTCAGGGTTTGGAGGTGTGGAGAGAAGGAGTTATTTTCTGAATATTTGCTGTGTTCTTCCCCCAGATCCTCTAAGATATCTATTTTTTTTTACCTCATTTTATAGCTGGAAAAAGCTAAGTCTTAGAAAGTTTCAGGAATTTGCCTAGAGTAGCTCAGCTAGTTTATGTTAGAGCCTGGTTTTGAACCAGGTGGTAGAGGTACAAAGATGGTAGCTTTTATGATGTTGAACTGGCACCCTAAGACTAATGAGAAAGGAGCCATGTTAGAATGGGGCCACCTGACAAAATTTCATGGTGCAGGTGGAATTTAAGCTGAGTGTTGGGAAGGATGAGTGGGGTTTTTCAATGTGTGCAACATCATAGAGAGAAATGCCCTGGGAAGTGGGGACTGTGAATATGCCAAGCTGGTAGAGACTCCAAATGGACCAGTTTGGCTGGAACAGATTGTTCACATTCATTAATGTATTCATTCCTTCAACAGGTTTTATTGAGCACATGCAGTTTAACCTGGGTTTACATAGGTGACTAAGATATAGTTCTTGCTCCTTAAGGAGTTCATAGTCAACCTGGAGAGGCAAACAAACATACATATGAATCAGGGATAATAATACAGAGTCATCTAGGCTACATTTGAGGCATGGGCAGGGGGCTGAGGGAGTGCAGAATGGCATTCCATCAGTCTGGTGAAAGGAGATGGGCAGGGAAAGGAGGTGTACACTTGATGGATTCTATGTCCTCCTTCTCTCCAAAGTAGGAATAATAACTTTTGCTTAGCCTATAGAGTTATACTGGGGATCAAATGAGTTAATTAATATAAAACATTTAAAACAGTGGTTGTCATACATAGAATAAGAGCTTAATAAATGGTTTTGTTCTCATTATTGCTTTTACTGTAATCTCTGTTTCTTAGAGTCTGACCACTGTCCAATCCACAGTCGGCCTGCAAAATATGAATGAATGAAAGAAGAGAGTTGGAAGTTGGAAATTGGCCAGTGAGGAGGAAAACATGGCTTTGCAGGAGAGTAAGGGGCGGGGGAAGCTGTTGAGTCTGACTGCTTTGTAATGAACTATGCCATCAGTTTTTCACTGGATGATACTTTAATTTCTGACTTCATTCTTTTTTTCCTATATCCACCAACTCACTATTTTTTGTTGCTTTGGCCATATCTGATGTATTTCTTTCTCTAATATCACTGCAAACCTCTAATCCGGCTTTCATCACTTTTCTCAGGATTACTTCACCAGCTTCTGAAGTTTTTTTTTTTTTTTGGCTCATCACTATGTCAATTAAGTTCTATCCTGTTCACTGTGGCATGATTAGTAATGTTATTAAAAAAGTATTGTCATCACTTCATCAGCATTCTCAAGCCTCTGTGGATGGATTAAGTCTTTTCTATAATGTTGCTCGATATTTCAGCCTCATGCCCCTGCAGTAAGGGTGGTAGAGTGGAAGGAGTGCTGTAGTCTCCTCAGGAGGTGATTATGTGGCCTTGAGCAAGACGCTCAGCCTTTCTGTGTCTCAGCTTATTGTCCCATAAAATATGGATAACACTAATATTAAATATTAAAATATATATGGTGATAATAAATAATTATAATCTGTGATCCAAGGGAAAATGTTAGCATTTCCTTAAAAAAATCCTTTAATTATAAGCAGACCTTTCTTTTCGCTCTGGACCAAGATATTATGCTTTGTTCCATTTAGGATCTTTTTTGCTCTTGGTGAGGAGTGCCTTTCTTCCATTTTGCTGGCTTATTCAAATCATTCTACCTGAGCTTCAAACTCAAGCTTAAACATCATCTCCTTCATGGGATTTCTCATCATTAGTCTAGTTCATGGCCATCTCTTTCTTCCCGTTTCCTGTGTTGTACATCTGACTATTTTATAATATGTTATAATACTCATTATTGTTCCTAATGCAACATGGTCCTTAACTTCCTCCATAGAAGGGAGGGTGCCTTATAGTCTTCCTGCACTACTGGGTACTCATTGTTCTCTGAATATTTTCATATCACTTTGTGCCTTTTCCCACTTTTTTTCTTCGACTTTATTTTGTTCTCTCAACTTTTGTCCTATACATTTTGCTATTGCCCAAAATTTAAACAAAGACTGGTTGAATACAACTAAATTAATTTTGCTTTGAAAGAAATGATGCTTTTATAATTGAGGACATTGTGTGAAAATGCTAAGAAATCTAAGATTCTATATAGGAGTTTTGACATATCTTAAAGAATATAAAAATATACCTAGAATAAATATACTTTATATATGTTATGTTTCACAAAGAAAACATTTTGACTTTCTCTTTTTCTTCTTCATTAATGGTCATTTTTCAGCTATGGATTTACTGAGATGATCTTGAGGCTAGTAAACCATTAAAATCTGTGGTTCCAGTCTAAAATTTGATTTTCATATATTAGGAGAATAGACAGTTCTGGTTGGGTTTCTGGTTAGCTAGCCTATAAGTATGGTGTAATTTAAGGATAAAATATAACATGACTTAACTTTTAAATTTCATTGACCTGTCATAGGTTTCTGTTTTTGGTTAAGTTCATTCTGTGAAAGACAATTTCTCAATACAAATAACCTGCATTAGGAGAAGTTATTGATATAGAATAGAAAGCAGAAATATAATACTCTTTTTAGTTTTTATATAAAATAGTAAAACTGAAAGTACTAAACCAACCAACCAATCAAACTCTGCAGACCCCAGTGTTAACTATTGAAATTAAACATTGTCAAAAATTCAGTGGCTTTTTTTTCTCCCTCATAAATAAAAAAATTCCTTTAGATCCAGTTGTGTTTTTCATCCAAATCAATAATTTCACAGATGGCTGCCAATGGACCATTGGCACATTTGGATATAACTTCTTATTAATTTTTAGCTAGGGAGTTTGGGCCAATCTAAATAGAATGGAGAAAATTTTAGATTAGAAATGGTGCACACTGAGGTTAAAGTTTATAGAGAAAGTAATAATCCCCTACTCTGATGACTTTATATGTGATATTTTTACATTTAAGGGAAAAGTCTTATGAAGTTAAATTAATGTCTTAATTTTATTGTTTAGAGATTTTAAAAAATGCTTCATAACAAATGAAACTCCTTCTTTGAATCACTTTGGAGAGGTTGGAATTGCAGAGGAATAGATGTAAATAATTATTTAAATATAACATATGGTAAAGGGGAAATTTATCATAATCTTTTTGGCTCCTCAGGGCTGATGATTGACAATGCCCAAAGACCATTTAATTTCTTGGATTACACAGATAACATTGCAAAGTTAGTCCTAAGATTGAGTTTATAGAGCTATTGAGACTTTTTTATGTTCCAGGGCCTGCTAAGAACTTACCTGCATTTTTCTCATCAAATCCTGATATCAGCTTTATGAGGTAGCTTTTTAAAAAAGTTATGAAAGTAAGTAATTTTCCCCAAATTATTTCATAAAGGGCTCCACTGGGATTTGAACACAGGTTGATAAGGGTGATGATAGTTGCCCATGGTGAGATTATTATCATATCCAGACCTTTGTAAATAGTCCTTTTATTAAACTCCTTGACTTCCCGTAAGTTGAGTGTGCCAGATGTTTCTGAGCCTTTGCTTTAGTACAATGACTCTTAAAACTCTTTTGAAGTAACCTGAAATTGTATTTTCCAACATTGTGACTTAGAAAATTAACAAGTACATAAGGGATTTTATTTCCCTTTTCAGGGTGGACAAGCTTTCCTTATTATCATTGTTTTGTGATTAAAAATACACTAATATAAAAGAAAAAGAACTAATGAGACTAGATTTCCTGCCCTTGAAGAGGTTAGGCATATAGGTCTTGCCTGTACCCAGCCTAGTCTCTGCCCCAACTTCCTGAGGGTTCCTTTTGCTTGGATTTCTGGAGGTTCCTAACTTTGTCAGGATTGTCCTTGGTCCCAGCATAGTCATTTAAATAAATCACAGCAATTAGCCCCATGCATAACTGCACTGTTAATCCTTTTATGCAACTGGCTTTTCCAGGTGCTGCAATACCCATTATGGAGATTAATTCCTTTTCATCAGGTTTTTACTCTAAGTCCTAGGGAATACAATGGTGAACTCAGGATATATATCTGAATTAATTCAATAGTGAATTATAACAGGAAGAGGTTCTATTGCTTTGAAATTCTCCAACTTCCATATATTCAAAAGCTATCAAACTTTTTTGGGTCTTTCACAGATGTTTCCCTTATTGATCATTTTGGTTAAAGGGGAGCTAAGTAGAATTTTCTGGTCTTAAAATGTAAATAAATAAGTGGACATTTATAGAGCTGTAAGATGTTAGACTTTTAAAATTAATTAATTAGCTAGTTGATTGAAATTGTTTTCAAGAATAAAGACCCCACAGTCTATATTGGGATGGATTGTAACATTCTATCACATTGATACCACCAAGGTGCTCTAAGCAGAATAGCATGAATAACAAGAACTTTCATCACTAATGTTTATTTAACATTTGTTGTGCCAGACACTGGGTTAAGGGCTTTATGTACATTTTCTCATGTAACCCACTTTATTCTGTAAACCAGATACTATTCCTTATATACAGAGGAGGGAATTGACACTTAATAGTGGTTATATGGTATACACAGAGTAATACAACTAATAAGTTAGTAGCCAAGCCAGAATTCACACCAGACTGTCTGTCTCTAGGTCTTACATTCTTTACCATGATCTTTCAATGGTGGATATTTAATTAGACTTGGATTTGTGGTTTAAAGGCTGTCCAGAAATGCAAATAACAGTGGTATGGGTGGAATCTGTTATTATAGCAGGTCTGTTTTAGTATAGGCTGACATTTCCTATGTATAAATGAACTAAATGGAATTTTAAGGTAAAAATTTAAAGAATGCTTTTCTTTGTTTAGCTTATTTTTTATATGCCCTTCAATCTTATGGGACTCTCACTGGCCCTGGATTTCATAAATGTCATGCATGCCTCATGATCAGAGGTCCTTTTAAGTGCACTGTCCGAGCATGCATTGATCCTAGATATCTATGCAGACTTGAAACTGGATAGAGTTGCCTTTGGACAAAATGGTGAAGCTGTTGAAGTTTGTCATTGGTGTCTCCAACTCTATTCTTTCTTTCTCTTCTCTAGGTTGAAATATGTCTGCACTTCCTGGAGCTATGACTTTTTGTGCTTTAACTTCTTTTTTTCCTCTGTGTAGGGAGGATATATGATATTGTTCATCCATACTAATAGAAACATAACTACCATATGTTGTTTTGGGAACCTTGGTATTTGCATTTTGAGTTTTCCTTTTAATTGTGAAACGAGAGATTGTTCCTTATGTTAGGAATTTCAGTTCTTGGTAAGAAGGAGGAGAGAAATTATTTTGGGCATAAATCTGCTGAAATCACACTTGACCCACTTAAAAAGCCATCCTTAAACAAAAATGTAATTTAGTTTTTTTATTATTATTTATAATGCATGTGGTGGAGTACACTGAAGAGAAGGTACAAGTATCTCACTTTTACCCACTTTTTACTCTATACTCAGATAGCTTTATGCTTCACTATCCACAGCTCAGAGTTCTGTTCCTTAGTCTCTTCAACATTTTAGGAAGTTGCCTTCTCTTCAGAATTTCCCCCCTCCTCCCTCCTTTCTTTTCTTCCTTCCTTCCTTTTTCTTTCTTTCTTTCTTCCAGTATCCTGAGAATCCACAGTGCCTGCAAGTGGAAGCTCTGTGCCACTCCATATCCTTTGCCATGAACTCCGCATCTAGGCCCCTCATTCCCACAGCCAGGGAATTTCTGCTTTTTCTGTGTCAGTGTGCTATGTCCCAATGGGCCCATCATTTTGCACTTTGGTGCACAGGATGGAGAAGGTGGTAGTTGCACATGGTGTTAAAGAATTTCTCAAAAGATGAGGGGATGAAGGATTGCATGGGAAGACAGAGGTGCTTAGCTTATACTTAGCTTCTCCAAGAGAAGGCACTGATTAATGGAAGTTAGACTCAGGAACATTGTCTTTTTATTGTTGCTGTATGTATTTCTGTAATAGAGAAGAAGAACTGAGAATTAACTTTACATATATTAGGAAAATCTGTCAACAAAAACATTAATATTGCAACTTGAGAAAAGGAGAAAAGAGAAACTAGAAATTGTCTGCATATATGTAGTAATAATCTATCAACAAAGTGTATTGAGTGCTGACCCTACACCGCTGTTTGCCCTTCCAGATCCTTTTTTCACCTTTCTCCGTCCTACTGTCTGCCCCAGAAAGACAACTTTGCCCTCTGGCTTTTATTATGTTTGCCAGTGGAGACCCCATAAGAAATTTGTAGAAGGGAGAAGAGTAAGTTTGAACCCTTTATTCCACTGGCCTTCTGTGTGACTTGGCTGTGTCTTTTCACTGAAAGCCATAGCTCGTCTTAAAATGGCCCCTTTTATAGGACTTTCCCTTTTGAAGTTACCTTCCTTTATCCTTTTGGGCACAAGGGTGATGATAGTTGCCCATGGTGAGATTATTATCATACCCAGACCTTTGTAAATAGTCCTTTTATTAAACTCCTTGACTTCCCATATGTTGAGTGTTTGTGCCAGATGTTTCCTGCTTGGCCTCTATTAGAAGGGATCATGGAGATCATTTTCCCCAATTCCCTCATTCTAAAGAGGAGTAAACGAAGACTACAAAAGTAGACATGACTTGTCTAGGGCCACATCTTAACGCAGTAGTGTTATTCTTTCTGTTTGATGTGGTCCTTATGGTGGTGTTGGCGGTGTCTGAGGTGTGGGGGTGTTAATAAAATATGTG